ATCCCTCATCCAAGCCTGAAGTCGTTTTTAGTGCAGAGCTGATCTTTAAGGGACAGGTGATAGCGTCCTTCAAAAACCAGCAGGAAGGAACAGTCTCAGTTAGTGTTGTCCCAGCACTGGTCTTTAGTGTAAGTGTTTCACTCAGATAAAAATTTCAGTAACCTTACTTATCTCCAAAGGTCCACCAGAAGCTGATCCATTTTCTTAAAAATTGAAAGTTTGGATGCGTGAGTGAGAAGAAGAGGGATGTCTGATTTCTGTTTTCCTTTGGTACCGAGGTTGACTTGAAAAGATAAGGCAGAAGAAAAAATGCTTTAATTTGTTGATGATGGTGTTTGACCATATACTTGTGTAAAATTTTACAGGCATTTATGGTAACTTAAATTGTATGATGTCCATGAAGACACATATGTGTGTCTTACAGGACAAAAAATAACCAACAATATTTTTGAATTTTAGAATTTTTGACTGAGCTGTCTGCATTTCCTTATGTTTTAGTTTTTTTTTTTTTTTTTTTTTTTTTTTTTTTTTTTTTTCCCTTTCTCTGTTATCACCTTTCCTTACTGTATAAGCTTAGACTTCCTTTCAGAGAAATAATAGTAACTGGGGAAACTCAAGTAATGGTCACTGCAGTTTTTTCACACTTTACTGTGGAATTCCAACACATTTTAGTCCTACAGATAGGTATAGAAATACTAACAATTTCTGTGTAATAGATGATGGCATGTTTACTCACTGTTCTACATTATTAGCAAGATGTAAAAACAAAACTGTATTTGATCTTCTGTCATCAGGTTCATTGTGGTATGATATCAATACATGCATATGCTGGAGGTTTTAACTATGTGCCCAGAAGTTTTAGTCAAAAAATACAGGGAAAGTAAGTGGGCGTTGGAAAGAACGCCTGTTAATGTTGCCTTTATTTTATGCTTTGGGGTAGTCAGAAGGTGCTAAAATCGTACTCCAATTTCCTTCTTTGACTTTTCTAAAACTATATTTATGCTGAGCCTTTATGTTATGCCTGAATACTGTCTTAATGTAACATATTTTGTTTTTTATATCAAACATTTGGACAAAACAAAGTGAAAATCTTAGTGGTCAGCTATCACGCGTTTTCACGTCACGATGAGACAAAACAGTAACTTTGGTGGTTTGGATGAGCTAGAACTAGGTTAGTATCTGCTTTGATTTTTATTTTGTTTGTTTGTTTTGGTAGCATTGCACTCGTTCACTAGTGCTTTTTAGAAGAAGGATGAATGGCCTGACAGTGTGTGGCTTATGGTCTTGATCCAGCACCATGAGCTGACATTGCCAGGTCAGTGAGAAGATAAATAGGCTTTTCTGTTCTACCCCCAAAGTGTCTTATTGCTACAATATCTTCAGTGACTTTCAGCATTTATGGACATTTTTCAGCTCCCCATATCAGGCTGCCTTAAACATGTGTGACATCCCTAAAGCGCACACAGGCACTCAAGCAGCTACACATGGTTGGACTCTTTCTCATAAAGTGCTGGTTATTGAATGCATGGTTGTCTCCTAGCACCCAGTTCACACCTGGATAAGTGATTAAAAAAAAAAAAAAAGTATCACTGAATCAGCATCAAATGCTTTGATTTGTTAAAAGTAAGTTGGGGAAGACATTGATTTGTCTTCATTTTGCCTCATCCAGGCTCAGGCTAAGTCAAAAATATAATAATAGAAAAAAAAAAGGTAGATAGATATTCATTCCTTCTTTGCTGTTGTTACTGTGTGACCCACTGCTCAGCTCTGGTGTAGGCTAGGCTAGGATTTAATCCAGCAACATCTAGAAACCACAGTGACAGGTTGCTGTGGGCATCTCAGTGCTTCACATGTGCAATGCTACAGATAAAACAGGTAGAGCAAAGATAAGAATGTGGTACAAGGTCAGAAAAGAGAATGAAATGAAATGTTGATCCCTTAGCATTTGTTATTAATTTTCTTGTTAGAGGTCTCCTTGCATTATTTTTGTCTGAGCAAGTTATCCCACCCTCTCCTGGAAAGAATGTGGTGAGCTTTGCATATGCTTTTCATTTATGTAGATATGTGATACTGGTGTGAAGAGAATCGAGATAGTTGGGCATCACTTTATGTCATTTACAATCTTAAAAGAAAATCCCATATTGGCCAACCATTTTTGGCAGCAGTTTACCATAATTGAGTAACCGATTTTATGTTTTTTTTTTTTTTTTTTTTTTTGTCTGAATACATTGCAATGCTGCAAATTGTAGTGATTGAAGTCCTCTTTAATTGTGATAAAAGCATTTATTTATTATTATAATTATTTTTTAACAGTTCAGAGGCATGATCAGTTATATCTTCTTTGAAGATGTGAGTTAAACACTGGGTAACAGTCAGGTTGTGGCCAGGGCCAGTCCCTTCACCATAAGCAGTGTGACAAGGCTTACTAAATAGCAAGGAATGGATGGGATGGTAGACTTAATGAGCCAGGACGTCATTCTCAGTCCCCTGTTCCATGAGGCTAGATTATCTTTTGGCTGAGGTTATCTGTCAGTCTTACAAAATAAATAGCTTGTGTTTTTACAGCAGTGTGCTTGTCTTATCCTGCAAAGATAAGTACAGAGTTTTGCAGTTTGCAAACATGAGCTGTTCCAATCCAAGGCTTCTAATAGATTGAATCTTTTAATTAATCCCTTAATTGTGCCAGGGAACTCACACAAGCTTGCTTTTCAGCACAAGGATGCATGTAGGAGTTGCTGAGAGGATGAGGTGACTTATAACAATGAATCATTTTCAGGAATTGCTACCCTCTGGGTTTGTCCCCGATCTAAATAATAATAGTAATTAAACAAAATGCTATTCCTTGTCCTCATATAAAAGCTCTCTTGTCCGATGGTATTTCTTACATATTTGTTTGTATATAGCCAACGTTGTAAGTCTTGAGTTTTCTAATTCATGTTGTGCCTGAATAATATTTTCACTCCATAATCTGTTCTTTTTTTCAACCTACAACGTGGTTTGTATTTTTGTAAACTAATATTAATTTGTTAGTATTTTAAATTACTTGTCATCCATTCTATATTTCTAGGAAAGAGATGTTAAAGATCAATTCTCTTAGAGATAGCCATGTTATGAATCTCAATGCATACTGGCTTGTTTTTCTATCAGCTTTTCACTGCAGACCGTTAGAAATGGCTGTGAGCCAGTAATACAAGAAGCACGGTATAGGAACTATGCCTATAGACCACAACTATCCTCTCTTTTTGTTTCATACTGGAAATATTAGCCACATATTTTACATTACTGTTAACTCTGCATTATGAAATAAAATGATGAGAGACAGAACCAGTTTAGAAAACCAGAAGTACATGTCTTGGGCTGTTAAAAAAACTCTCCTCAGTGATGATTTCTCTGTGCACTACTTCCATTGAGATGGGTCAACATGCTTTAAAACAAAAACAGAAATTGTTGCTATCAAGCTATGTTTATTTTAAATATATTTTTTAAAGATACATTGAGGCTTTGACATTAGTGTTGACACTGAGAGGTGATTCTATATCCATACTGCTTGTAAACCTCAGTTCAGGAAAACTTTTCAGTATATATTTCGGTCTTCAAGGTCTCATGGTCTCAACAAAATTTAGACATTTGTTTAAGTTCAGGTGTGTATGTGAGCGCTCTCCTAGACTGGGTCATTCAAGAAGAAGGGCAGGAACATTCTGGACTAAATTTGGCTGAAGCCACTCGTATTGGCCTGAATGCTCTTTTCCTCCAGGCTAAATGAGAAATAGTCAAGTTAAAATGGTACGTGCATGCCTTTCACCTTGTGGACAGTAACATTTATTAGTGGAAACAGAGGCAGCTCTGAAATAAATGACTTGCAGTTGCTTCGGCTTATCTCTAGAAGGAATATGCTTTATAAATAATAATCCTGAATTATTGGAGGAGTGCTATGGAATCTGAAGGTAAAACTGAAAAGAACAGGGAGTGACCATTTGTTTGCAATTTGTTAAGGCTTCCAGTGCTCTACTCCTGCATTCACACTGAGACTCGCTACGGTGAATGTTGGCTGCTAAAAGCTTTACTTCTTTTCTTGAGACTCATCCCTGGTTTGTGTTGTACATCAGCAAGCCAAACCATTTTTGTGTGCAGCCAAGAAAGAACACTATTTGCTTATTGATCGTTATAGGAAAACATGAATGTGAATAAATGGAAAGCGTTAGATGAAAGACCTCTGTGGTATGGAACATTTCATATACAAGTACTCAATTTTTCTGTGGAGATATAGTTTAAGATATTTTATAGTTCAAATATTTTGGCTTTTTGGTTGAAAATAACCAAGAGAGCAACCAGCCCTGTTCAGCACTGCTGTGTACATTCGTCCTTGACCCATTAGGTACTGACCCTGAGCTGAAGGCAAAGTGAAGATCCAGAGTAAGAGTGTCTCATAGGAATTCGGGGTGGTCTTACAAAATAATCCTTGTTGCTAATGATTATTGCTGTAAAATGAATGAAAACATGTTGACTGCTGTCATTTGGACAATTTATGAACAGCTGGTTTGAGGAAATATGAAGCATTGCTGTGAAGTAGAAGCAGTCATATGAATAAGCAGTCGTGGAATTAACAATCATTTTCTGATGCTACTCTGACAGTAAGATTTTAAGTTTATCTGGTCTGTTCTTAAATGTAATTATTTTGTAATTACATGGAATTTTAACTATGTTGAAGCTATTTTTCCAAATATTTGACTGTCCTGGTTCATGGGGCGGGGGATTTGGAAATGTCAATGTAAAACGTGTTTCATTGATTTGTGAGTTATCTTAAAATACTTCAAATCACTTTTGCTTCACATTAAACAATCACCATGTTTTCACATGCAGTGTCCAAATGGTGTGTATACCTCCTTGAAAATGTGTTACAGTATTTTCATGTTATAGATCTTATGTTTCTTAGTGTGTGACTTGTTTTTTTGGTTTTATGTTATTGTATTAAGTTGGCAAAAAAACCCTTTTTGTTCTAGTGCTTGACTGGGGAGGAAATTTTTTCTTTGCATGGAATACCCAACAACAGTCGTGTATCAGATTCAGACTTCTCTACGATATGTCCTGCTGTTTTGCAACAGCTAATTTTTCACCCGTGTGATCATCAGGAAAACATTGTGGATACAACTAAACCACATTCTTTACAAGGTCAGTTATATTATTTCATTGATACTGTGATTAGTGTGGGGGTTTCTTAGATAAATAGTAAGTATTTATCTATGCATAATAGGAATGCCTTGTTTAGGGGGATATAGTTATAAGGTGGGAACATAAGAGGGTGTTTCAGGTCACCAGGGTACATAAACAAATATCCTCTCTCTTGACTGTGATCTTTTCAAAATGCTTTAGGGAAAGGCCAGTAGATAGTTATGGAGTGATTCGTTCATTAGAGAAAATGTCCTTCTGACCTGTTTTGTTTGCACAGTAGATTGTGCCCTGAGGCATAAGGGCTCTCACTAATAGCTGGTTAATAGGAGAGAAGGTGGAAGTAGGAAAAGTTTGTGCAGATAATTTGCAAGGGGCTGTCAGACTTAGTGGGGTGTGCAAGTATCAGGCTAACACAAGGTAAAATTGCCAGGAGGCTGCATTTAAGTGGAATTAGTTGCAATTGGATGTCAGGACACCAAGGAGGCCAGTGACTACTCTTTTTCTGAGGAAAAGACTCACATTTTTCTGAACTCCCACTCTTCCCTTCTTGCCGTCTTCTGTGCTGCTCCCTCTACATGGAACATTATCACATGCCTGAGTAACCTTAATCTTCCTTCCTCCTATTTTTCTCATTATTATTTTTATATTTATTGTGCACAGAACTGTACAGTGCAATAGACAATATAGGACAGGGATGAATCAACTGGATAATGAGGTCACTTGTTCCATTGATAAAGATCAAATTTTTTTACTATTTGTTTATTTATTTGACTTGGTGTCAAGTCATTATTCCCAAGGATTAAACTGACTTAAAGTTAAAAACTGGGATATTGGATGAGGAGATTCCCAATGGTAGTAATTATTAGCAAAGGTACTGCAGTGTTGTTTATAACTCTTGAAATTTTAGAATTAATAACACCCTGATTGTTGTAAGTGACAGTAGTCACTAAGAATTACAGATCATTCCTAAAACTTACCTGTGCCAGTGGATAATATAAACTATATTTGATTAATCACAGCCATAGCATCAATTTACCATGACAGTTTATACCATATGAAGGCACGTATTTTCAAGAAATTTACAATACCTTCACCACAGTGTAGAATCTGTTTTTTTTTTGTTTGGTTGGTTTTGTTCTGTGTGTTTGTGTGTGTGTGTTAAAGTATGGTGATGTGGAAAGCTTGCTCTGTAGTTGATTGCCTAAGCTAGTTAGACCATCCCTCCTATTTTTCTTTTATCCTACCAGCTCAGAAGCAGTGTCCAGTAGCCAGATAAGCAAGGCAGTCTTTTCTCTGCCCCTCCCTTGGCTGCAGCATGAGAAATCTGCGAGGCCCATGCTTAGGGTATTTTAAACCCCAAGCATATGAGGCTGTGACACACAGTGGTATCTGTTTTGAAGGGAGATTCACAGAAATGTCCCGTGCCAAACAGAGGCTTTACTGCAAATGTATCCTGCTGTTGTTGATTTATGTGTTCTCCCCTGCCCCATCACCAAATGAATCAGTATTGTGGCAGCATTGGGAGCAGCTGATTTCAGTTATTGCCCATGATGCAAAATCCTCAGTGCATGTTTCCAGCTTGGCCGATGTGAGTTTTCTGCTCAGGGACTCCCACACATTTAAGTTCTGTTAAGTCCCCGTTCTCCAAAACATGAACAGACAAGATATAAAGAAGAATTTAATACAGTGAGCTTTATGGGGCAGCTGCTTGCAATAATAAAAAAAAAAATCGTGGAAGCAGAGTAAAAGTTAAATGACAGTGTATAGCATGTCCTTTTTCCTTGGGGTTGTATGTTGAACATCTAACCCAGCTGTCCTTAGGGGCACACTCATGTCCTTCCATTTCTTTTTTTTCTCTGAAATGTAATAGGGAGTAGTATAAAGGGGCATGAAATAGCTGGAAATGCCCAGTGGCATTTCTTCTGTCCAAGGCAAACAGAGTCTGTGTAGTCTGCTTGGCTTTTTCAGCAAGGTTTTAACACCCTGGTTTCTTCCGTTCCAGGAAAGGGCTCAGGAGGAGCCTGAGCTTGTCTCAGGAAGGCCCAGAGCAGTAGTCCCCACTTCTTGTGAGGAACTATACTGAGCAATGGTGGCCTGAGGAGGACTTGCTCTCCTGCCATTAATTTTTTGCATTTATCGTGCTTTGGCAGCTTGGTGGTCTCTTTGTTGGGGCCAGAGTTGTAGAGACAGAAAGCATAATGTGTTAGGTCAGAGGTTAGGTCAGAGGTTGGACTCGATGATCTTGAGGTCTCTTCCAACCTAGAAATTCTGTGATTCTGTGATAATGGTCGTTGGCAAAAGCCATCCATGCCACCAACCTCTGCGTAGGCTGTGTGTCAGTGCTCGGCTCTGGAACATGAAGTCAGCCTAGCCAGCTCTCTGGGGGGGATTCACTCAGGGAAAGCTTAATGGGGATGGAGCCCTAGTGAATCAACCCAATTTTAAGAGAGCAGTGCACACTTGGTGTTGTGAAATACAGTCCATAATGCAGCAGTGAAGCAACTTTGGCAGCATTGGTTATCTTGGAATTGTATCACTTTCATTAGTTTGTTTGTTTGTTTCTTTTCTATTTGTGGTGTTTTTCTTGCAGCACCAATTCCCATAATTGTATAATTGGGGTAATCATTTTTTTTTAATCATTATTATTTGCAATTGCACTTCAGATCAACAGCACCTTCCTGGAGAACGTATAAGAAAGATCTTAGATTTATTTTCTTCCTTTAAAAGATTTATTAGTTTAAACTAGTCCCGATACTACTGAGGCTCTCTGTGGGATCTGTGGAATGCCTAGGATGGAGAACAATTTATTCCTTCATCCATCTGATGTTGTTTGATTATGTATTTTAATTCTTCCTTGCTCTTCCACTTTGGGTAAATGAATAAAAAATAAAATATCAATATGCTAAATCCCAAAGACTTTGAGCCATCCAAATTAGGCCAGATTTTCAAAAATAAAATGCATCTGCCTTCTGGCCTCACTAATCTCTGGTAAATTAGGAAGAAGAAGGGCTTTTTTGGTTGCTGCTGTTGTGACAAAAGGGGGTACTACATACCAGTGGATTTATTTGCAAACACAGGTCCTTTAGTACACTGGGACATGTTCCACTGCGTTAAGCATACAAAATGATGAAAGGTGTATCATTTATAGCATGTACTTCAAGTTAAGTGTCCCAGTACGTGCTGCTGTTCTGAACAAAGAGTGCCGGCATGAGCGTTAAAGCAAGTACTACTGTGAGAACTTCTCTCGGCATTTGGCAATAACCTGTTTTTCTGTGCTTGCTTTAAAGCTCCATTCTCCTATCATTTTTTCACCCACTGATTTATATGTACCATTTGCAAATTTATCCTCTTTGTCTTTTGTTGTAGAAAGTAGTAAGGAGTAGTGGGGATTTTTAATCATAATTTTTGAAACTTGTTCTAATTTCCTTTGTCTGCGGCAAGGTAATTTGGGCATATGCACTAAAATACTTCATATTTTATATATATATACATACACACACACATGTATTTTAACTCAATTCGAAATGCGTATTTTGCACAGGATAAATGTGTAGGAGTTATCTGTATGTTAAACTGAGAGCCTCCTGCTTGTATGGTAATCCCAAACTGCAAACAGCCTCTGTTACTCATGATGACACTGGAACCCCATTTGTTTACCGTAGACTTGATTTCAGAAATGCATTCACAAGCGTAATTATCTTTTATTATAATGGAAGTTATGCTCCTGTGTAGCTTAGTGGATCTAACCATATCTAGTTGTATGTTTTTCCTCCTCTCTCTGTCTCTCAGAAATGGCAAGCGAATGTTTTGGTTGGCATTGGCACACCTCTTGCAAATGCCTTAAATGCTTCTAATGCTTTCTGTTCTTCCTGTTCTTGACACAATATAAAATTCGTCACAAACGAAAATGTGTCCCTGTGCAAACAAAGCACAGCAATCCCAGTTGCAGGTGATGAATCTGGTTTAGTGTGTTTGCGGACAACGTGTTATGGGAAAGTTGGGCTGCAGATTGCAATCTGATCTGTTTCTGCTACGCAGAAAGGAATTTACGGTAACTTCTCTGTGTACATACGGCAAACCTGATAATGAGGCTGTTGGATGGATGCAACTTTCTGGATTATACCAAACTGTTCTCACATATCCAACATTGTGTTGGCTTCGCTTTTAATTTGTGTTGGATTTTTATAGGCAACCTATCTGTGTGGATATCTTTGTGATTCTGTGGCCTCACTTGAGGCAGCGTCGTAGGCTTTTTCAGTGCAACCTTTAAAGCTTTTTTGTACTCACAGGGATTTGAGATGTAACTGGGTAAAACAGTGGACATGCACAGAGGCAAAACTTTTTGATGATTGTAAACAACATCAGTAAAACTCTCAGAACCTGTAGTTTAGATGCCAGAATAATTATGGTATTTTACAATATATTACCATATAAATCCTGGTGTCTGAACTCTGAAAATCTGAGACATTGCTTATGGTGAAAGAAGCTAAATTATGGCCAAACTGGGTGCATATGCCACTTCTTAAATAAATAGATAAACAAAAATATTCCTCCTTTGTGCCCACCTTTTTGAACCCAGAACCTCTCTTTTGTATGTTTTCATTTCTCTACTGTAACAGTCTTTACTGTCAGCTATCTTCCACCTTATATGTGCGATAAGTAATGATGGGCAGTGTTTTCAACAAAGTAGAAATACTTTCAACTGAACGAAGAGGAGGAGTGTTAGGAACAGAAAGTTACCACCTCAAGACGATTTAAAGGAATCATCCTTTATCAGGAAGGATTTTGGGGTATAGGACAGCCAAGACAGCGAACTTTGTATCTTGGAGTTATTCAGGAGTAAATGACAATTGGACCTGCAACCCTGAGACCAGCAAGAAGATTTGTCGTAAGCCTATGCTATAGCTACCTTGAATATTGGCTTAAGCTTTAGTCCTCAATTTTCAGTGACTGTAGAGAGAGATGATTTATACTAGCAGCAGGTAGACTATCTGAGATATTAAAAACTGAAACCGGGCTTGTATGTGGTCCCAAACAGTATTTCTGCATATTTCCCCTCTGTGGGTATATGTCTTAAATATCAGTGCGTATTTAACGTTTTATATTTGTAGAGTATAATTTCAAGTAAGGAAAAAAAGTATTTTTCTCAATTCCATGCCAATTCAGATGTTAGAAAAATCAAAAGCAGCCTTAAGTGGATTTTATACTAAAATATTTTATATTTCTGTTTGTTTATCCACAGTTTGGGGATTTGGGTTCCTGGCTGTGACTATCATTAACTTGGCATCACTCCTGGGATTGATTTTAACTCCTCTCTTAAAAAAGTCATATTTCCCCAAGATTCTAACCTACTTTGTGGGCTTGGCCATCGGTACTCTCTTTTCTAATGCAATTTTCCAGCTCATTCCAGAGGTAAGCAATGGGAATTGTTATTTGTTTTGTAAAATCATTTCTAAAGTGTATTAATTCCAGAAGCTCGCTCCAGTGGAGATCCGAGTGTGTGGGTTGTAATCCCCCAAGAATTGTAGGTGGCCACTAGTGCCACTGGCTGCCACCTCTTTCTGTCTGGGTGAGCAGAGCCATCAAATTCTGCGTGTAGCTGTGATGTGGGAAAGGCTAAGGGCTATTTTGCCTCTAGACAGCAAGAGGAACACATTGGGTAAAATTCTAGTGAGTTTTAATGGGCTACAGTTTAGACTTCCTCACCTTGCAATAATTACTATGTTCTGCATGTAAAATTGTACTGTATTAAAACACTGCTGACATTTAATGTAAGTTAAAAAAAGAAATAAATCTGTCGGGGTCAGGATCTCTCAGACTTATTGAAACTCCTGGCTGGTAGATGGTCTGTACTTTTGAGGAGTATTTGTGTGTGGTCAGGGAATTTGTTTTTATGGAAATGTACTAAGATTACAGACTAATTCACATTGCTTTTGTCTTCAATGTTAGGCGTTTGGATTTGACCCCAAAGTAGATAACTATATCGAGAAAGCCGTTGCTGTGTTTGGTGGATTCTATATTCTCTTCTTTGTGGAAAGGGTTCTGAAAGTGATATTGAAGATCTATAACCAGGTAATGAAAGGTGTCACTAACTGTGCAAGCCTTACCTTAAAGTACCTGATGCATTTTATGAGGTTCTTGATAGTTTAATAAAATGTTGGATTTTTTTTTTCATTTTTTTTCCTGAGGATTTCAGCCTTACCAAGTGTTCTGATACATCTGTTTAAAATCCATATGGAGAGGGAAAGCAAGTTCACTTTTTTTGAGGGAGTTACAGGCAGAGCTGGGAATAGAATCCAGATGTGAGCGTGGTCTGCTGTCACTGGCATATGCTCTAGCTGCTCTCAAGGGCCAGATCTTCCCTGTGCTAGCTAAACATATCAGAAAAAAGTGGAAATAAGTAAAAGCTGAAGAGAATGTGAGTCTGCCTCAGAAGCTCCTATTTGGACAGGAGAAATCGATGTGACGTGTTATCTTCTTATTCATCTGTGAAGTGTAATTTACCAGGACTGACAGTGCCTGAATCTCACCTGCAGTGACTGGCTCTTTGTTTCCCCATGCTCTGCTACACAGACCTGCTTTAGTGACCCTTTAATTATCCATATTGTGCAATATGGTTAATTGGCTCTGCTTAAACCAGGGCCCATATATCTGAGGACTTCCTTGCTGTGTGCTCACATGAGTGAGACTGAATTTGTCTCAGACAAAGGCCTCTCAGACTTCCTGGAACTCTCTACTCTTGTCTTGCCATGAAAACTGTCCAGTGCTCCTACTCTTATCTCACTTAGCTGGACTCTTCCAAGCTGGTCCTCATATTGAAGGTTATGAAGATTGAACTGGTTTATAGGAAGGTATAAAAATGGTAAATCCCAACAATTCTAATTAGCTGAAAAGAAGAGATGCTTAGATAGGAGGGGAACTTTGATAACTTTGGAGTTCATTTAAAAACTTAAGTATGAAAATGTTGATTGCTATTTAAACATTCACTTGGTGTTGAAAGAAATGCAGCATGAATATGCTCCCTGCATTTTCCTTTTTGGTCTGTATTTCTTATTTTTATTTATTTATTTATTTATTATTTTGCTTTAATGAACTACTTGTTTGTTAATTTGTCACCTAGACTGGCCATAAACACTCAGGACATGGTGAACAGAATCAATGTCAGGATAAGGCTAACCCACACAAACCACCATCATCCAGCAACGGGGTGACCTGTTATGCAAACTCAGCAGTCATAGAGAACAATGGAAATCTTGGTTTTGACAGCATCAGTGTGGTCTCAGCACAGGTAAGAAACTTGTGTCTGTTTGTTTATTTTATTCCTGCCTATTATATAAGCATATCTGGGGAAGGGTTAATAAGAATTTTTATTACTTTTGTCAAGTTTTTGTAAATTTTTAGCTTATAACTTGCCCTATGAAAAAATGTGTTACTTTTGGGCAAGCTTACAAAATCTGAATGCTGGATTCGATTGCTGAACAACTGTAAGAGCTAGTAGTTATCAGCATAGGGATGGGTAGGACAGAGATAAATATTTAATCTGTTAATTTTGATCTCGTTATTGTTTTGTTTAAAGTGTGTGATAGTGTGTGTTTAATGTTACATGATCCATATTGTGCTCCTGACTACATCCAGCCTTGTTCGGAGAATGTGGTTCCTTTGAATCTATGAGTAATGAGGAAAACTGATACAGTAAGCAATATATTGTGATCACTGGTTGTGCTAGTCCAATGTATTTGGACATGGTGGGAATTACAGAAGTAATAGGTTGAGACAGCGGCTGTTCCTCCTGGTTGAAGTAATATCTTCTTTCCAATTTGTTCTCTGTATTTGTGTTTATTGCTCTACTACAAATACGACCTCCTTCTGCCAGAAAAGAAAATCTAGATGGGAAGAAAAAGTTGGTGTGCTTCTTTACTCTTTTCCCTGTCCTTTATTTAAAAACAACATGGAAAAACAATAATTATCTGATGGCTAAGGAAGATTTTTCGCAGTAAAGATTTCTGTTTTACTACCTGCACTCTTCACCCAGAAAGGTGTTTGTGGGGGAGCATTGCGGAGCAGGAGAGGAAGCAGGACAAAGGCCCTAATTCTCAAATAGAGAATATGGGAGTTCTGCATTGACCCTGCAGGCTCACAGGACACTTGATACCCACAGTTTAAAGTACCAAAATTGTACTTCTCCTTACTTTAGAAATGTTATGGAGTGCAGTGGATCCTAGGTGTTGTAAAGATTAGGAGAAACAGGGGTGATAGCTAAAACTGCATGGGCACCGAAAGGAAAATCATATTTTGAGTATCCATAAACTGTATTTTGTAGATTTAGAACACATACAAAACCTCCACTGTCTGTGGAGACGGTCCTTGCTAGTAGCACAGTATTATATTTCTGCCCTGTTTACCGGAAGTTTTATCTGGACTTGTTCCATTATTGCATTTTGGCTAGTCACGTCCTTACATGTAACGTAAAGATAACAAAATCATATCACGTATATTATAATAATAAAGTGTGGCTATCTAGTATTTATTTATAGCTACTAGGTTACTTGTAGTGCTCACGATCGTAAATTATTGTAGGTCATTCCAAGATCCTTTGTAGAATACTCACATACTTCCTTTTGCATGCAGTCTTGACTTTAAGAACTTTAAGTTTTACAAAGGTTCTTCCTCTGTAGGTATTGCATTTATGAAAATTCATGCTTTCTATTCTTTCTTGCTTTCCATTTCTCCAGAGCTAGAAAGAGAATACATTATATTAAAATCTTCTGACTGTAGCACAGTAAAATTCACTCTGGAGTCAAGATTGGCTGGAAGGGAGATGGCTGTAGGATAAATCCCAGGGTGGCAGATAACCCAGTGTTGATATGGGAGGTAGCAAAGAAAGCTGTCATTACATTTTTTTCCTCCTTCAGGCAGTTTTGAAGGGGCCAGCGTACCCTTCAGAGTCATCAGGGAGGAGCTAGGGTACCACTAAGAGGGTAGGTATGAATTAAGTTTTACACACATTTGATATTTATGAGGGATCCATGTGGGGTAAGTCAAGATATACATAGAATTTTAACATGTCCTCGTAGTTTAAAGCTCAGTAAAGAGGGCAACAACAGCGAAGACAGAAAGCATCATGTAGGGTGGTGGCTGGAATCTGTGCAAGAGTGTGGTAGCTGTTTTCAACCATGGAGATGCAACCTTCTTTTCTCTTTTAATGCCTGCCAGAGTGAATGTAAATGTTTAATTAGTTGCATACTTTTAAATTTCACTTGCAGCAGTAACTGCAACCTTGGAAACCTCTTTTGTGCTGACCCAGAATTTGTACCTACTACGCATTAAAATTAAACAGCTTGACAACAGTAACTTTTAAGAAAAGTTACTTCAGAGACAAATTGCGGAAAATGCCTGTAGTCTCAAGCACACAATGTTAGAGTTGTTAAAGAACACCAAAAGGCACCTTTTTATCTTTTATTTTTTTCAAGAGCAAAACTTTGATTCCAGTGCTTACTCTTTTGCCTGTATGAAGGAAAATGTTATCAACAGGGTGGAGTTGCTCTGTCCTAACTCCTATTGGGTTTTCCACTGATGTGCGGAATATAAACTCTTTCTTTTCTGCAAGCATTTAACAGATTGGGGTGCTTGTTCTTGTCTGAGGGAGTCACAGATGCATTAGAAAGAGCAACGGTACCCTGAGGTAATGACATAAGATGAAATAAGAGAAGTCTCTCTATCATTTCTCTTACATTTGGGAACAAAGGAGAAGCCATTGCTTTTAAAGAAAAAATTATGTTCAGAAGAGCAAAAATACCAAGGTTATCTTTTGTTTTACCATCAATTGTGGTGATGCAAATAATACCGCAGTAGTAATTAATAAAAATCTGACCTGATAGACCAGTTGAGTGTTCCAGAGCTCCTTAGCTGGCATCTCTCCTGTAACATCTCCTGAAGTACCTGTGGTGGCTTCACACTGATGGCCAACTGAACTCCACCACGTCACCCTCGCACTCCCTCTCCTCAAAGGTTGGGAAAAAAAGGCTTACAAGTTGAGATAAGGATAATTTAATTAAAAGGAAAAGAAAGAGGGGGAGAAAAAAATGTGGAAGCCAAGACAGAGAAAACAATTATTTTCTGCTTCCCACTAACAGGTGATCTTGAGCCACAGGTTGGGAAGCAGGCCTCAGTCAGTACATGTTGCAGTTTTTTGGGAGCACATTTTCATAATGAGAGCCCACCCTTTCTACTTTCCCCTTCCGAGCTTTTATTGACGAGTATAACACCATAGGGTGTGGAACATTCCTTTGGTTGGTTTAGGTCAGCTGCCTGGTGGTGTCTCCTCCACACCTACTGACTTTGGGGGGGTTGGAGAAAGTCTTGATGCTGTGCCAACACTGCTCAGCAATAGATGAAACATTGGTGTGCTATCAGGGCTGTTCTAGCTACAAGTGCAGAACATGACATTTTATTCCAGCCAGACCCAGTACAGTACCATGACAAAGAGGAAACAGTCCAGTAGAGCCAGGCATTGTTCATTTTTGCCTCAGAATTCTATATTATTTTTATAAGGTAAATTTATCAGTAGTCTGCCTTATCTTGAGCATTAAGAATATGTATTAGTCATTTATCTATGACTATAGATCATATGCCCAATGATATTCATGGGCATATGACATTCATTGGGCATATGATCTAGTAAAGTTCAGAATGTGAAAGCAGACAAGCAATGTCCTTGTACTTCATATGGTTTCCAGAAGAAGTCGCGACATTATCTAAGGTAGATTACAGGCAAGAATTATTTATTATACCTTAAAGCTACACAGTAAATGGTTGTTAGATGTGTATACATATAATAGAAGCCTCTCAGAATCTGACTCCTAGTTTTTAAGCTACAGTTTTCTCTAAAGCTTGAAATAGTGTATCAAGAAAGTAGTTTTAGAAGTAAGTCAATACTGTTTTCCTTATTTAATTGCAGTTACTTAAAAACAAACACAGCACAACAAACCAACAACCAAAACCATAGATAACCCAAACCCAATCTGGTCAGTTCTGATCTTGATGAGTTCAACAGATACTCTTCTTCTCCTTACTCAATATCATTTTCTTACTCAATAAATATCATCTTCGTACTCAATCTTCATTGTGCCACTACTTAACCATGGACTTACTAGCTACAGATTCCAAGTAATGTAGTAGACTTCAGACTGGGAAATCCCTAATTTGAACTTTTGTCCTGTTCCAAGGCAGCTCCAACATACAAGTATATGTTATGTCAGATAAGAGTCCGGTGAGCAAAGCATGAGACGGATCTCATTGCTTTGTCATTAAAGATTTTGCGACCATTTATTAATCTTTATATTTCCTTAAAGTTCAAACTTCACTTGTCTGGTAGTATTTACATTTGATATGATAAAGTTAAAACCATTTCTAATGTTCCTTGGAAAATTTCTTGGAATTATCTTTTTGACCAATTGATAGAAAGGAAAGAGATATTCCTCTACATCCTTCTCTTACAAGAAGAAGGGTGTTTAAATATGTCTGGGTAAACAGATATATATTACTATTTATGTGTTCTGGTAGTAAACACTAGTTAATGCCTTATATTGAAATCCTTTTTTATTTTTTTTTCCCCAATGCTGTTATGCTTGCAAATATAATTTAACTACAATATCTGTGTATACAGAAATTTATCAGAATGGAACATTAGGATTTTTATAGTGGAAATTAGTTTGTACTCCCAGCTGAAATGGCAGTTCTTTTTATCTTCGTCAAATTTCTCATTATTTCATGACACCGGATGTATAAATTACTTCCACGTCTGGTAGGAATTATTGAGAGCCTTGGCATGATTGTGCATTGCAGTTTTATATTAGCCAGTTCTAGTTGTGCTCTGAGCTCTCAACTCCCACAGTCAGAACTAGCCACTGCTGTTCTTAAACATGCACTTTGTAAAAACTGATTTCACTAGCTGGACTTAACTGTCACTGCTCAAAATAAGAAATAAAATTAGAGGACTACCTGGATGCGTGTCTGGATTCCCATGTAGGTGTCTGTTGCTGTGGTGGTGGCTGTGTCTTTACGAGCATGATGTACATACAGGCAACATGTAATTTATCCAGGTCTGTTTCAGGTAGGAAGTACAGATGCTGTCAATCACAATGATCAAATCCTCTCTACTGTACATGCTTAATAGAGGTGGCTGAGGAGGCTGTGAGGAGCCTTATCAACCCTTGGCAGTCTCTTAATCTGGGAGAGACACTGCCAGAGAGACATTCAGACATTGTGGTCTGAATTGCTTTCTGTCTCAGCTGAAGGGCATTCAGATAAAGCTTTGTAGTCAGAAGGTGACTGGGTCCTTCACTTTTCAGTTGTTGAAACAGAAAATATTTGCTGCTGCTACCTGTGCCCTCTGCCTCTTGGACCAAGCAATTTGTTTTCTTCATGTAATTGTGCTTTATTTTATACTCAGCATTTGATTAAAGTCAGAACTGCGTTTCACTGACTTCTTTATTCAGTGTTTTATGTGATTGCTTTCTTGTGTTGTTTTTCCAGGAGGAAGTAACCCAAAGCAAGTTATGTAAATGTCTCCATGGGCACCCACTGTCGAAGATCGGAACCATTGCTTGGATGGTAACACTGAGTGATGCCGTACACAATTTCATAGATGGTTTGGCAATTGGTGCTTCTTTCACTTTGTCTGTGTTTCAAGGACTGAGTACCTCCATAGCCATCTTGTGTGAAGAGTTTCCTCATGAGCTAGGTAAGGAACTTAATTAAACACATTGTTTGTGACAAAAATTACTGTAGGAGGTTGTGCTTGCAGAAACTTGGCATGGATTGAAAAGAAGTTTAGACAAATGAATAGAAAAAGCACTCATCAAAAAGTTACCAAGTACCATAATACACATCTAGCCCAAGAAGTTCCTGAGTGCAGATGGATGGAAACTAGGAATGTATTATATAGGTATTAATTGCCCTATTCATACATGCTTTTGTATGTGTTTTTTTTTTTAATTAAATTTTGCTCATGATGGGTAGTCCTGTGTTGCCAAGCTCTTAGCTGTGTTGTGCATCACCTACTTGCTTTAGAATGTTTGTTATCTTATTGTTGAAGGGAAATGCTCATCATTTACTTGAATGAGGAAAACCAGCAGTGGGATATAAGCTGTGTACAAATGTCTTTTTCTTTAGACTTCCATTGAAATGAAAAAATAATCATAATATCATTTGCCGAAGATGGTTTTCTCATTTCTCATTTTTTCTTTCTCTTTTCTCTCTTTTTAGGGGATTTTGTCATCTTGCTTAGTGCAGGAATGAGTACTCGGCAGGCTCTGTTTTTCAACTTTCTGTCTGCGTGTTCCTGTTATATTGGGATGGCTTTCGGTATATTAGTAGGCAACAACTTTGCTCCTAACATCATCTTTGCAGTAGCTGGTGGAATGTTCCTGTATATCTCTCTGGCAGATATGGTGAGAACGAATTTCATTTTCAGTTATTTAGTTTTCTGCAAGAAAGTAAAGACTGCAGTAACAGTTTCTCTGGTAGAATTTAATATTTTTGTCTCTCTCCTGCCAGATTCATCTACATCTTATTATTAGATGTTAAGTAATCAATTATAACCTTAATGAAGGTGCACAAATAATTATGCTTATTCATTAAATGTGAAAGCCTTTGATTTCACAACTAGGGCTGGTCAGATTATTACTGACAATGAGTTTTAAAGAAAGAGAAGCTTTTCATGAGTTTGGGCTGGTTTCATTCAAGAGTGAAAAGTGTTTAAATACTTTGTTTCAGCATTTTAAGAAGTGGCAGAGCATCTCACATTATTGTTATTAAATGAATCATTTGTCTTTTCAGAAATCATCTTCTAAAAAAAAAGCAGAAAAAATAAGTAAAATTAAACTAAAAATTCTTTAAGAGTTGAATGGAATATGTTATGTAACTTCAGCAATAATTTTGGAATTGTTTAGGTGAAAACCCTGACTTAAACTCCAATACTGTTTAAATTAAACAGTACCAGCCCCAGTTTCTTTGTCCAGACTTTAGAAAAAAAAAAAAAAAAAAAAAAACAAAAAACCAGTGATCTGTTAAACTTCATTCAAAACTGAGTTTTTTTGTTTTGTTTTGTTTTTGAAAGTATATTAGAAAACATAAGGCAAAGAAATAGTGCTAAATTCTAGATCAGGTTTAGATGTTGGGAATTTAATCTGGCTTCACCAGGCAGTCAGCAATATTCTGTAAATTCCTTACAATGATGTTTTATCTCAAAATGAAAGAGAATTTATGAGAGTTTAAAGCTTTATTATATTTAATTCCAGTGTTGTAAGATCAGATAAATCTGTAAAAAATATATATATATATTAAAAATAAAATAAAAAAATAATTCTGTTTCCATCTGTCATATTAGAATCCATCTGAGTGTAGAACCAGAGTAAGGCCTGAATTTGAAAAGATTTGAGGCCCCAGTTTGGTTCTACATGCATTTAAGAACTCTTACAAGGTTATAAGGACTATTACATTAAATACTAATGTAGTTGAGATAATAACATAGGATTTCATAAGTAGTAATCTTAGAGTTAAATGAACAATGTAAATAGCTTCTTTTACAAATTTGCAGTACCTTAATTGCTAATGCTGTTCATTTGCTTTCACTCTCTTATAATAAATAGTAGTGCACTCAACTATGATGTGCAAAACTCATGGCATAAATTTAGAGTGGCTCATCGTAAAATTGTTCTAATTAAATCCATCAAAGTAGGTAACATTATTTTCTTCTTATCTGTTGTTCTGCACTCTCTCTCTCCCCTCCCTTCCACCATCTGTCTCCTCTCCTGCATCTCTTTCTCTAGGTTTTTCGATTGAATCAGCTACCTGTCTCAACTTTTCTCCCCCTGAGAAGTCTGAAATAGGGTATGCAAGTGCTCTGTACAGAGATTTGCCTTTCCACTTTCTGGTCTGCTTGTAGAAGCAGGTAGGATTAATTAGAATGTCCTTTCCCTTTTCTTTTTTCTTTGCTGTTCTTTTTTCCTCCCTTTTTCTCCTGGACTCCTGGTGCAGTCCAGCCTCTGTGTCAGTAAGATAACCGTGTGATGAAGCTGTGGGTATGTGAGAATGTGTACACTGAGGTGTGTGAGCACACATGAGCCTTGCTGTATGGCATGAAGCTAATCTGGTTTGTTGTTGTCTTTTCCTCTTGTGCAAGAGGATCACAGAGCTGTGGAATGATTTCTGGGAAGGTTTGGCCACTTCCCATTTACCTTAATCTGTTCTTCAAGAATTGCATTGGCTTCGACAGTTCTTTTTGTCTTATGAGATCAAAGATAAAGCTTCTGAGTCATTCTGACAGAAGGCTTCTAAACTGAGACTGAACTTTAGAGTCTTCGTTGCACGCTGGCTATACTACTCTCGCCACAGGAGAAGAGTTTAAAGCTTACTTATGTTTGTCAAAGTCAACTACAGTTGACTTTATCTGCCACAAACACATACCCTGAATTGCCCCATGCTAATGGGGACTTTTATCACCAGTGCTCATCTGCCACCACCTCCATTGGCTCTCAGAGGAAGTATCTTTGTTCCTGCAATTAACAGTCATCCTTTGCTATTATGGTGCCCTTGTGACACCTGTTATGGAAGGAAGAATCCCTTCATCACACCCTAACGTAATATTGCGTATATTGCTACCAGTTTCACAACCTTCCTATTCTTTCTTCCTTGCTTTATCACTACCTCATCAGCCCAACAGACCTGTTTGTAACAGGTTTCTTATTTCTGAGGGGCTGTTTGTGTTTTCAGCTTCACCTCTTTTGCTTATAAATAAAGTAGAAGAATTCTAATCTTCCATTTCCTGATCGAGGATTTCTCTGTCTGTGTTAGTGAAGAAAGAAACACAATATTTAGCAATACAAGGGCAGCTGCTCCTAGCAACATACAGACCGACAATTGGACCCAAATTAAAAAGAAGAAATCTGCATGAGAGCCAAAAAGGTGATATCACAGCAGAGGAAAGCAAAACATCATTTCAATTTTCCATTCTTGATGACGTAGTTTTCAGGATAACTAGGGTGATTTGTTCTGTGACTGCCTTCACCCTCTGTTAGTTCTAATACTCAGTTCAAAGCAGCGGTTTGTTGTTAAATGGTCTAAGTTACACACGCTACCACAAGATGGCAATACTTACCTAAAATTATGCCTTTTTCCAGTTCCCAGAGATGAATGATATGCTGAGAGAGAAAGTGACAGGAAGAAAGACGGATCTTACATTCTTCCTTATTCAGAACGCTGGTTTACTAACGGGGTTTGCTGCTATACTGTTGATTACCTTGTACGCAGGAGATATTCAGCTGTGATAATGGAAGTGAAAATGGAATCGATATTCAAGGCATCAAATAAACTACGAATGGAAGACACTTGAAATCCATAAAGGGACATTCATTCAATCTTCTTGGTTTTGAAACATTGACAAGTCTTCTTCCCCCATTCCAAATGCAGGAAATTCTTTTAGGACTTTCAGTTAATCCAAATACTAGGAGCTGTTGACTTTTATACTCTACTAAGGAACCGATTCTCATATTTGTGTTTCTACTTAAAATTATCAGACATACCTGAACTGTTATAGAGAAAGGGTGTTACTTGGCCAGTAGAAGTAAGTAGTGTATATGCAAGTACATGCAACTCAGACCAAATGAAAGCTGAGGTCTTCAAGGAAAATTCTCATTTAAAAGAAAATAATGAAGTCTCATATCCTTTTTAAACTGTGATGAAAGCAAGGAGTTTCAAAGCTGGTTAATTTTCATGACTTCTGTTGCAGGATTTGCCTGTGTAATATTCCCTTCCCCCATCAAAAAAAAAAAAAAAAATCAAACTATTTCAAAGTAGGTACTAATGAAGCTAAGATTTTTAATTACTAATTAACACTGGAAGGAAAGATACCAGTTACTGCTTTTGATCTTTTCTCTTTATGTGTGCACTAGGGAATTGTTGATTTATTTTGAGAACCACTTTTTTTAATTAGAGGGAACCTGTGTTAAAATTATGACAATTTATCAACTCCATAATGTTTTAGAAACATTGAGTATTTTAAAATTTTTCAAGTATTTTATATTCTGTGAAAATAATCTTGTTTTACATACAAGTTCCACAGATATTCCTCTTAAAAATCAGTATTTTGGGTTAAAATTTTGAAAGGATGTATTGTTAGTTGTACAAAGTGGAACTTAAAGGAAAAACTGCTAAAATCAACATTCCAGGAAGCTTTTTTTTTTGTAATTTCAATAGTTTTCTCGTGTGCAGTTGGGTGAAAGTTAAGTGTTACTAAAATATACAAACTTTTATTGCAATCTGTTGCATATGAACTTTCTGAAGTCATGGTTATATGTTTGAATTCTTCTGAAATAAACAATTTAGCTACTCTGCTGTTGTAAGATGTGTGTAAGGAAATTCATGCAAATATATCCTATTTCACTCACTGCTAAGTTTTGAAAGAAGTGTTACTATTCTGTAGTCAATTACTTTCATTCGTATTGTTTTTTATGGAAGCTTTCCAACTTGAAGGAAAATACAATTACTTAATGTATTTCTTGCCAGTCAAAAGGGACAAATCCTTTATTTTTTATTTCACTATTAAAATATATTTTCTATAAGGTAAATGATTTATTTAAAGTTTTATTTGAATCGTATCTTTAATTATGTTAGAAAAAATAACTTTCTAAATGCCTTGTTGATTAAAAAAAGGCATTTTTTAAGGGAAACTACACAGGAATAGTAAATTATACTTAAGTTAAAATGCGTTATAGTCTTTAATACGTAATTATAGTAATCTATGTTATTTGCTATATGGAACAACATTTATTAGTCACCTTATGCCCTCTGAGTTTCTGTGAAGAAGAGTCCACACACTCCATATTTTTTCCTTTAATTCTTTCTTTTGTTGATTCCTTGGATATAACCTGCTTGTAAACGCTACTCATGTATCCCAAGTATGTATTGTAGTAACTATGAATGCTCAGTAACTTTTTTAAAAGTTATTTGATTATTCCTAGTTCATCAGGTTATTATAATAAGATGTTGGCATGGAATGTTTAAACCTTAAATCCAAAAATTTGCAAGGGAGACTTGATTTTTATCATCTCCCTAAGAAAGGAAAAATGAGACAAACATATCATTGCAATAAACTACTTTTAGATTATAGGTCAGATTAGAGATGGCACAACCCCTGATATTCAGGCTAGTGTTTTAGTTACAAACCAAAATGCTGCTCCTGCTAGTGGAATATTTAGTAGGTAAGAAAGATTTTTGATTTCTCTAAAACCTGGTTTGTCTATATAAACTTCAGTAGAATGTTTGTCCAGTACATATAAAATGGATCAATTCTAATTCTAGGCCTGTCAGTGATTTCCTCGATTTTGCTGTTACATTCAGGGAGGAAGAAGCATGAGCAAATACTCAAAACATTGCTGTTTGGTGACAGATAAGACTGCAGTAAGTTACTCCCTAAAAGTTTGGAAACCAGTTGAGAGAGAGATTTTGATATTCCTTTTAATGTTGATGTAATACATGTATGTAACACTGTTCATCTTACGTTCTGCCATCTCTTCAGCCTTCTTTTCAACAGTGGTGCAAATTCAGTATATAACATACTTCAGAGGGCTCTTATCTGCTTTCATATTTGTTGCTTCCATAGATCTAATTATCTGGCTAACATACACTTGGGAAACCATTCTCTGTTAGCACTCTTAGATCACTGTCATATTTTTTTCTCTTTTTCATGATGTGCCTCATGATTCAAGACACAATTTAGTAAATTTCACTAAAGTCAGAGAGGAAAAAAACAACAACACACCTATAAAACAGTCTAAGGAGGGAATAGCAATTGATTTTGGAGCAAAAAGTGTATAAAGAGCAACAATATGGATGAAGTATAAACCCTAGAGCACCTCTGGTTGTTTGAAGAAAACAAATGCAGAAAAGTGAAATGGTCTGTGGGATAACCTGTCAAAAATGTAATACGTGATTACTGTCTATGGTTTCAGGAAAAATGAATTGAAAAAAATAAATTGGTACTTAAAGTTTAGGGTTATTGCTTTTGACATTTCAATGAGATCTTTACTGAGTAAAGATTTAAAGCGCCTCTTAAACTGAAAATTTGCTCTCAAATTTTCAGCTAAATTAAATATCAGCCCCATTCTAAGAGTAGTCTGGAATTCATTGTGGTCTTCTATATGTTGAAGTATTTACCCTGCTGCTCCATCTAGATTTGCATCTGGCTTGAAGCTTCGTGTTACTTCAGTTAAAAATGTACCAAACCAAATCTACATAGTTTACAGATGGCTTGAACATTCAAAAGTTACATTCAATTATGCTAATAACAGCAGTGTAAATGTCTCCCATTTTATGCACATAGAGAATCAAATGTGTGCTAATTTCTGTATTGTCTTTTGGAAACATTCTTTTTAAGAAATCACTGATTTTACCTGAAGATAGGTGAACAGATTTACATATTTGCACGTTGTTTTGCATTTTATTGTAGTGTCTTGGTAATGTAAATTTAAGGAAGACTGAGATCCAGGGAGATAAGTCTTAAGTGACTGTTTTTCTACTACATGCAATTCTAATGAAGCTACTTACAGAGGCAAGTTTAACTCTTCCGGACATGCAACTTGTAGGAAAATTGAGAATATGGATTGAGTTTGTTTTTCTTTTAACTCTAGACAATAATGCCAAGGAGTAGAATTTGAGAAGTCTTTCAGATTACTTTAAATTAAAAAAAAAAATAATTGAACTACCAGCATAAGCCAGGTGAAAATTGTTTAGACAGAAGTCTAAGAAAAAAAGCTTATAACAAGAGAGTCTCCCTCTCCCCTCTACAGTTGTGTGAAGTAGTCAGCTGTAGCTGATCCCTTAAGAGTGTTGCACCAGCCCAAGTGATAGGTGCAAGAAGACATGCATGCTGTGGTTCTTTTCCAAAAGGATCAAAATTGCTCAGAATTCCCCTATGGAAGCTCAAATAAGAGAAAACAAGATAGAGAAATGCTGTCTCTAGAAACACGTGTTTTATTTCAGACACCAGAAATACACAAGGAGAAGGACACTAACTTTGTAAACAATTAATCTGTAAGTATTGGTGGGTGCCAGCAAACCATTTCACGTGTGCATATGCACCCAATGCATATTTTAGCTATTGACTTTTACTCTATCAAACATCCCGAAGTTTCCAGGAACACTGTAGCTGGCTTATCAGTTCTTACAATACTTGATGCACAAGTTATCTCTCTGATATTCTAGAAGAAACTCCCCTCTCCCTATCTTGCAGTTCAACTCAAAATGTACTGGTGTGATAAGTTGACAAAGGTTGTTAAGATGAAAACTAGACAGAAAGCCACGTCTGCTAGCAGTAGATAGAATACATCTGTCAAAGACAGACAGGGTTACATTGTATTTTTAGGGTTTAATCCGTAATACATTTCTTTTGTACCTGATATTGCCTTTTTTTTTTTTTTTTTTTTCAACCTAATATTTTTGAAAAAGATAATGTAGTTACATGTTTTGTAGCCCCTATTACGGTCACTATGCTTTCTTCTAAGTTTATCAACCCCCCCAATTTCTACATCTTTTTTTTCCATTTTAAAATGCAGTTACCTCTATCCCATTCTAAATTACTGTTTTATCATCTTAGTAAGTGCTGAGGAGGAACCCATCATGATTCAGTTTGCTGAGAAGATACAGTTGGGCTGACAAAGTTGCCAGAATTAGTCACGTGTTTGGTCTTGGCAATGCCCTAGTTATTAAAAAGAAAATAATATCTACTAATAATTTCCAATAAAAGCATTTAGTTATTATAACAGCTTTTTAATTATTTAGAATAGTAGCGGTATAGACAATCATAGACAAAAAAAAAAAATATCTATATTTATATCTAGCTTTTGCTAGCCAATTGGAGAGAGAGCAGTAGTCATTTCTGAATAGACTGGTTCTTGAGAAGAGACCATGCACAGTGGCATTCCTCTATCACTAAGTGGTGAGAAAACCAATCTAATTAGAAGAAACATGAAATGAGCTGATATGAGTCAAATGTACTTAGTTAGAAAATACCAAATATTTTTTATGTCATTGGCCTTAAAGATACTGAAACTGCACTGAAATCCACTCTTCCAATTCATTGGTGAAACCTAATAGAGTTTTTGTCTTGGTAAATACAACAATAAAATACTGTCTAGAAAACGTTAAATCATCTTCAAGTTGTTTCTGTAAGACAAAATGTTATTGCTGCTTCACTGATTTGTACTTTTTTGTCTTTGCCATGAATTCCACTAAGCTGACTTAATTGTAATGAAAACCTTTTTAGAGTGTTTCTTTTATATTTGTGATAATCAAATTTGTGTGTGATACTGAGTTGTTGAAACTGTTTCTCAGGTTTTCATATACTGAAAACAATTACTTCAAGTAAAGATTATTACAGAATTTGTACTGTCTCTTTTAATCTCTAACTTCCAGATACTTCTTACAGTCTATAGGAAGCTCTTGACCATTTTAATAAGCTGTTAGTTAGATAATACAGATCCCCTCTTGGCTGTAAAAATGTTGGTAGTGATTTGCAATAGTTAAGTGTTCATTAAAAGTAAGTTATGGTGTGATTTGCTTGAAATTTCCTATTACAAACAGCAGACCCAAGTGCAAAAAATGATTTTATCATGATTAATGTTCTTCTTGTATTTAAAAAAACATGGTTCTCTGTGCCAACAAAGAAATTGTCCTCCATTCACTAGAGGTTTTGCAATTTCTCACCTGATTGGTACATTAGTGAAATCAAAGCTGCAAGTTCTGCTGAATTGGTAAGTAATTAGATGAGGTATATTATGTTACCTGTACTTTTTCTTCTTTCTCCTTTTTTTTTTTTTTTTTTATCAGTCTATAAAAATTACTTCTCCATTTCTTGCATTTTATTGCTCTTCAACTCATAGCTAAATCTATGGTTGCTTGTCTACATACATACAGCTACAGACATTTCTTCTGTCATAACTGTCTTCTAACACATTTGGGGTAACAGCTGCCTATAGACTAACATCTTCACTCTTTAGTTCAACTTAACACACTCATCTTTTTTTCTTTCAGAGTTGAATGTGCAGCTACAAGATAATACGAAACAGTTCTACCAAACAGTGAAAAAGGATGACACGAAGAACTTTTGCTTGTTCATTGAGGGTAAAGCTCCTATCTTTTGAAAGGCTAATGATGATCACAGCAAGCAGAACCTGCATTTTGTATAATATATGAAGGATAATATTTGGTACTCCAGCAGCATGATGTAATATTGATTCAACACACTCTCTGCAAACCTTGTGAGTCATAGTTCTTGAAGACTTTTTAATCCCTTGCTGGATTGCAGCATCACTTCTTAGTTGGTCATACATCAAATGTGAGACTACACAGAGAAGCCTACAAGCTTATGGCGTATTTCCTAGTCTACTTGGCTGTGCTGGGGAGAAAGCTCATAGAGTAAAACGCAGCAGAGAGCTGTCAATCCGTTTATAAGGCAGATCTCACCGGTGCAACTTAAGAGTACTTCTTAGCTGGTAACCAGATTCATGTCCGGATACATCTTGACTCCATACTGGGATGAGACCTAGGTAAGTGACATTTGTCCTCCATCCTCTTGTCTTTTTGTGTCCACTCCAATTTCTACTGGCAAGGAAGTAGTTCCCCAGCAAATCTGTAATTGTTTGCTTTAAACCACCGGGCTGCCTGGGACTGACTGACTCTCCAGGACATACTTGCCCTGGGGCTTAGACAAAAGCATAGGTACCAAGAGACCTATAGAGCAACAATTGGAGCTGTAAGCACATTTGACATTTTACTTGTCCTGTGTGCATGTGAAATGCCCACCAAGTTCCTAGCCTGGAGGGCTCAGAGAATATGCTCTGTGTTCAGAAACATGCTGGGTCTTGAAAGCAAAACAAAACTGCATCCCTGTTTGCAGTTCATGAGAAACTTGAAAATATTGGAGTTGGTAGGAAATTTAGCCCATAACTACATAAAGACACTCCATGCACCACAAATCCTGCTTTCCCCCCAGCTATATCTACTCTTTTTGTCTCCTGAACAGCATACCAAACATGATTAGTGAAGCTGTATTAGCAGATCAGGACAGGATAGTTTTGGCCAGTTGCTGGTAGGTGATGAAATGCTGGTTGTGAGGAGTGCTGCTACAAACTACAGGAAATTAACTTTCCCAGTCTTTTTCCCTCTGAAGGAGGAGAAAAAGTATTTAAAGACTAGCCAATGCCAGAAATTAAAGTAAGAGCAATCATGATTAGAGAAGGCATGATTAATAATATAATTGCACCACACTAACAATAATAATTATAATTACTTTTATTTACATAAATTTAATTGCAGCAGTTAGTCCAGATTTACTGTTATGAACACTCAGTGATTTGTGGCTTGTGAGGTGAAAGATGATTCAAGTAGAGCTTTCCCCTTGCACTGTGAGTAGTGACTTCATTTTTAAGGCTAAGAAATGTTGTACTTTTGTACTTTAAATAACAACAATCAGTTTCTTTAAGAAAGACAGCCAAGGATGGGAGCTGATGGAAGGCACTAGCTCGTCTGGGCACTATTTGGTATTCACTGAGAGCAAAGGAGATAGAAACCTGCTCAGCTGATCATCTGAAGTCTCACTGGATGCTGCATCAACAGAAGTCTTCACATTATGTGGCTCCCAGGACTGACAGGCTCAGCTCAGAGTCTGCAAGGTAAAGTCCCCATCAGCGGGTGCAAGGAAGGGAAGATGATGAAATTTCAGTATGGGAAGGGGATGGCACAGCACCTACTGCTTCTGTTGTGGAGGGAATTGAGGAGTTGCTACTTGTTACAGAGAATTGGAGGCTGCCAGAGGGTGAATCCTGGAGCAACTGGTGAGAAACTAATGAGGAGATGCCAGGGCCTGGGGCCGAGAGTGTGGTTGCTAGGAAGATGGAAGTATTTCTTAAGGAAGAGTCAGCTGGAAGGTTTGGGGGCAGATATACTGAGAAAGCAGAGATAACGCGGCAGTTGGATGATGCCTTGGTAGAAGAAAAATGGAAAAAGTGTTATGTTTTATCTAGACTGGGAAAGGGCAAATGTAATAGGTGGGTGACTACTGTCTGTCATGCCTGCCCTCTGATTTCTGGTAAACCCACATAGGTTTGGAGTGCACACTGTAAAGAATTGGAAAAAAGTAACATAAAATATCCCTGATAGTGCGGGAAAGAAGGGCTTAGGCACATAACAGACTTACCAAGTTGGAGTATATCCATGGGGTGAGGTAATTAAAAACGTATATGCTGCAGCACGTGTTGTAAACATGTAAGCTGTAGCAAATGTGAACTATAACTCGATGAAAACAGCTCACGGTGGTGTGAACTGCGAGCATAAGCCTAGGCAGTGCCCCCAGCCCAGGTGGTGTGCATGAAACTGTTAGCTGTAGAAATTACCTTCACAGCTTCTCCCAGCTGGGTTCAGGCGGCTAACAGGGCTGTGTGAGGTTTTTGAAGGGCTAGGCAAAAACGTGCTTTAAAAATTGTAATTTCTATAGCTGATGAAGATGTGCACTAAATAGATTGAAGGAGTACTCTTAAGGGTGATTATAACAGAACAGCTGGTTCTTACTGGCATCCTATAGCCACTCATGCTTCCACTGGGTTAAAGGCAAGTATGAGGGAGACTTGCTAGCCAAAAGCTTTTGAAGGAACAAAACGCTTGGCTCTAAAAAGGGAGTGACTGTATCGTGCATCACACTGGGAATCCTTGGAGAGAATTGAATTGCTTTGCTCTTCTGTGTTTTGGTGTTTCTGTGTCTTCAGTGTTTCTAAAGGACTCCTGGAACAAGCTCTTTATAGAACTTTGTGCTGAGTTATTGCAAAAAGAGCTGGAAGATGCATAATTGCTCTGAGGTATAATTTGTGGGCACCATAAAAATGATGGCAGGGGAAGTAGATCCAGGTCACTTGTATTTGTCCGGGTCATGTGTTCAGCTGTATATCAGTGTACAGCTGACTACAGCAAGATGTTGGGTACCTGACACCAATTCTTTAAGAGTTTTCCAGGGACTGTAGGAGGTAGAGAGCAAAGGGCAGAAAAAATGAAATGTGCATCCCTGCACGTACTATGTATCACCTACGTAAATGAACTTGGAGCAGATCCAAAATATCCTTGGAGCAGAACGTTGTGTAGAAGCAGGTACTATTATTATTGCTACTGTATGTGCTGTTTGTGAACTGTCTAAGCATAACAGCTTTAGTGGTATGCAGCTATTACATAAACAAGCCCCAAGCACTTATATATATATAAAACCAATGGACTAGGATGTTCATTAAAAACTGTCCTTTTCTTAAAGCTCTAGCTTCAAACTGCCAGTGGGAGCTGGTTTTCCTTAGGACATGCATAGCACCCTTTCAGTAAGGGCTCAGTTCCGCAGATTTCCAGGCCCTGCTCTGTTCTTGTGCTTGCTACGGCTGTACTGGGTGCAGGGCAGAGTTACTCAGCAGAGTAACACAGCGGGCTGTGGGCATGTAATGCAGCCCGTTTGCTGCTTGAGCTGTCTCAGGAATGGTAAGTGAAAGAGTGGGGTTGACATGCTGCTCTGCCTGAGCTAATTAAAAGCAAATTGTTTATAGCTTACAAATTCCTATCTTTGTTTGGCTGTTGGGGCTTGTTATTTTTAAGGGTGTGTGAACTGTGATTTCTGAGAAGTGTTAATGAGTTCTCTTGGTTGCTTTCATCTGAGAATACAAAATTTTACTAAAATGTCATTCTTTCTCTTTTAAATGGTTCTGTTCTGTTAGGTGTCCAAACTGTGGTGGTGGTTTTTCTTTTTTTTCTTTTTCATTTTTTTTCCCCTCCTTTGTTTTTGTTTTTAATGCTTTTCTAATGAGGGTGATTTTCTTTAAGCTGCTGAGTGTTTTCTGTGGGGTACTAAGCCCCTGGAGGCTGTGGGCATTGAAAGGTGCCTGACATCTTAAACAGCTAGGTCCCTTTTAATGTTAGCATTTTTGCTTACGTTTAATGGATGAGGGTGGATCTTCTTGGAGGTGAAGGTGTAGGAACCAATTTTGACCACGTCCTCTATGCTCCCTGCTAAGGGAAGGGGGAAGCAAATCATTAAAAATTAATTAAAAGAAGAAAAGGAAAAGTAAGGAATATACTGTGTTTAAGACAGGGGAAGCAAGGAATGTTGAAAGTTCTCTGCTTTGTGCTTTTCATGTGTAAGACAAAAACTTACTGCCTGTCAGAAGTGGTATAAGAAAATCCATCAACGTGTACGTGGTATGTTGACTGCTATGCAGAAGATCATACGTAACATTTAAATTTAACAATTTCAACAAGTTCTTTTTGTTTTCTTCTGAAAACTATGAGGTTAAAGAGTAAGACTCTGTGACTTGCTGACTCTACAGATAAATATTTCGATCAGCTTGGAGTAATCTCTGAATGGAGTCGTTGGAGAACACAGTACAGAGATATCCAAGTTCCCTGGGTCTGCAACAGCATGTGTCCAGAAGGAGGCTGGCTGTATTTGTGTGATAACATGGTGAGTGCCTACTTAAATGGAGCATGGATTCATATGGATATGGCTATGCTACTTCTGAAATCGCAGTGGTGGGTCCACGTGGTGGTTTGTGATGCAGCTTGCAGATGTGTGGGCTTTTAGATGAAGGCAGAATGAGGTTTTCAAGATGGGTCTGAAAGTCCAACTTAGTTTTCTTTAGCTGCTGCTGCGGTTTTGTGTGGGCCACTTAAATCTACCTTTTCCCTTTCGTTCTCCATTTCCCCTGCCTCCCTCAAATGGCAGTAATGGTCCATCTTGTCTATCAATTGAGAGCATTGCTAATTGCAAACCGTTGATGTTTATAAACCACTTCAGAAATGAATAGTCATCTTGGGTGAGATCAAATTGCCACTCTGTTCTCACCATGGAAATAAAAGCACATTGGTGTCTACTTGCCTCAAATCTACTTGTGACCCCAGGCCTGACAACACCGAGGCCAGTGTCTGGGGAGGCCGTTCGTGACTCATATAGGGGCAGCAGAGCTATTTGCTGTCTATTCTTCAAAAATACACGAGGTGAGGGAAAGCGTTTCAAACCTTGGAGGTAAAACAATGCTTTGCTTCTGTATTACTCTTGGCAGGTAGTGAGTGTCAACAACTGTCTGCTGAAATTCACAAATCTGACTTCCTACAGCTCTTCCTGGCTACTCCAGGCAGGATATTCCTTTCCGCAGATGTGGCACAGTTCTGTGAGTCAGAACCCGATGTTCAGTGAGCAAGTCCCAGCTAAATCTTGGGTCATCTCACAAGGATTTGGTGTGGCTGACTGCTGCTATTAACATTAATTTTCCTGGCAAACTAACTAGAAGTGTCTTTCCTAGTTCCAGATGCTAAGATCCAACTTGACAAGGTGGCAACTGTCTAGTCATGCAAGTAAAATGATTAGCTTAGGCTGAATTTTCAAGCTTTCAATTCTTTCAAATAAGGTAAAGAGAATACAGAAACACTCTCCCCATGAATAGACAGATGCCAAAATCCTATCTGGCTGAATAAAATTGTAAGGATGTCTGATCTATGTAGGTCCATCTCCAGACTGATGCTTTGGTTCATATCATGGGCAGAGGAAATTCTATGGCCCTGCTAGCAGGAACAATACCAGAATCCAGTCAAGGGAAAAATCCACACATTTAATTTGAAGGCTGGGATTAAGGTGTCTCCTGCAGGACCTGTAAGAATATACATGGTGTATCTTCTACAGCAATTTCTGTTGGCTTCCTTGAACACCTCCTGTTCACAGAGTAGACCAGATCTCTGTGTTGCCCTTTCGAAGTAAAATAAAGTCGGAGGCCCAGACGTTGCGAGTGGCTGTCAACATTTGCAGACTGACTGGGACAGTGTGATGAGCCAAGCCCTTGGCAGCACAGCCTGGCCAGGTTTGTGTGTGTGGGCAGCAGGTCAGAGCAGCTTCTAAGCACTGAGCTGAGATACTAAATGCTAGTGGGAATGCAGGTGTGGGAGAAATGCGTGCCGAATCACACAGCAGTGGGTAGGTGAGGAAATGATGAGCACGACTTATAAGCTGTGGGATAAACCAGAAAGCTCGGATCCCAGCAAAGATTTGTGCGCTGGGAGATTTGTGATAAGGGACCTGAAAAGGCAGTCTGGACCAAAATAGAGCAGACAACATTAGACTGCAGTACTCCCAGCTGAGAGCTCAAACTCTCTTTTAAAGACTGTACCGATTGATTGTAGAGACAGCTAGTTGGAAGAATGGTTTAGAGTCTTGCAGACACTGGAAGCTCAAAGCAGGGAGACATTTGACTGCTGGTATGCTCATAGTTGCTTAGGCTGGTTTTTTTTTTTTGAGGAGGGGGGGAGGCTGTGGGTAGAAGTGACAACTCTTCCTCTTTTGCAGCTGGGTGCAACCATGCTTTCCTACAGAATGAGCTGAGGATACGGTGAAGCTCAGCCATATGACATCAGTTTGGTACTTAAGCCTAACAAAAGTATTGCAACCTGCCTTTCTTTTCCCTATTAGCTCCCAAAGCTGTACTGAAATTCTGCAAAATAAATGGGAGCAGAGAAAACTGGAACAGGCAACCTCTTGCTTAAGACAGCTGTAGTGTAACTTTGCATTCTGGTACCCTTAAGCTGCTAATGTCACTTCCCCCTTTGGTAAATTCAACCCATGTTTTTGTTCACTATTTATTGGTTTGTTCCCTCTGTGGGAACTGTTTGATGTTACCATTGGTACAAAAAGTTTTGGTGAAGTCAATAGTTTATTCTTAAATTTGAACACGTGCTTTTTGCTTAGCATTAAGCTTAAAAAACCTCATCCACCATGGGAATGAATTTTTAGGTCAGGCAACGGTACCATGTGCTGTAAGTTCTTGGTGCCAGCTGAAGCTCATGAAATTCTTGCCTGTGGTACGGGCACGCAAATAATGGAGTCTTCAGAAGCCCAAATGTAGTTGAGAGGAATGACAGGAGCATTTTAGGGATTTTTTCTATTCAAGATGTCTGTCCTAAAGCTCTTCCTGGATAGGAGTGTCCAGATGTTCTTCTCAAATAGCAGGGTGTGTTTTTGAAAGGCAGGTCCAGCGATAATGTTCCCTATAACCCAGTAATGACAAGGAAAGTAAAGAACCACATTTTGCTTATGATGGCATACTGATTCATTTAGCTCTCGGTCTTCCTTTGATAAACTCAAGGTGAAAATTCTCTGCTCGTGTTTTTTTTTTTTTTATCTCCCACAGTTGGTCATTCAGTTGTGGTTTCCAAGAGAGGTCAAGAGGCAAGGAGCTGTTATCAACTGTGGTTGAAGCCTTTCTGATCTTGCCTGCTTGATATTAGCGGCTGGAGAAATGAGTTTCTTAGTCTTGAACTTCCTCTTTGCGATTTTCCCATCTTTGCTACTAACAAAGAATAGTGCTTGTCTGTGTTACAGATCAGCTGCTGCTTTTGTAATTTCCTTAGTGTTTTCATTGCCTTTAGTGCTGCTGGCAGCATTTCATGGCAGAATTGCCACTGAAATACCTGGTTAGCGTCTGCGACGTCTGCTTGTTTTGGATGTCCATATGAGATATTTTACAGAAAGTTAATGCTGATTACACAACTGTGCATAATATACAGGCTGAGGGGGGGAGAGCTCCTCAGTTGGCTTAAATCAGCCTCAGTCTCAAAGCTGTTGTGAAGTTTTGTGGTGTCCCTCCTATAAATACTGCCGGTAATGGAGAAAACACCTACCCCCTTCCTCTCAACTGCATCACCCCAGTTCTTAGTCACAAGTGTGTTTTATAAACTGAGGCTGAGGGATTTTGTGGATCAGAGCAGTGTTCTTCATCCATCTTCTGTCCGACTGCTGTCTCCACAGGGCTGTGAGGTAAAGGCCACTTTCCTTTTTCCCTTGGCAAATTCCATCTATTGTGACTGTCTGCTTGCCTCGAAAGGAAATCGCATACCGAAACAGAAATTCATTAGCCTCACAGGTATGATGAGCTCCTGTTAAGGCGCTCTTGAAAAATACCCTTTGGAGATAACTGAAAATGGATTTCTTGTTGTAATTTGCACCACCTTGCAAAATTTGAGCAGGGAATTTGCCAGCAATTAAAACAATGGCTAGATAAGACCGAGAAAATAGTTTTTCATTTGGTAGACTGCAGATATTGGGTGCATATGCATGCTGGCTGTTCCTGATGTTTGGAAATGGTCTTCCCCTCTACTGTGAGAGAATTCATAGCAAGAGATAGACCACAGGGCTCGGAAGGTGCTTTAGGTTATTGGAAGGCAAAACCAGGTCCGTGAGCTGTTGGATGCTTAGCAGTTGTTACCTGTGTCCCTTTCTGTCTCAGCATAGCTGCACTGCTGTTATATGGCTCCTGTTGCACAAAACCTGCTTATTTATAGCTTGTATAATTGCACATTTGAATAGCGAGGTAGCAAACGAGTTGCTAGTGGCCAGCTGCTTTCTTAAATGGAAAAAAATATCCCATGGTCCAGGGCAGCAGACCGTTGAGACACGGAAAGAAGCTAACTGCAGGGGACCATGGTGGAAAAATGCTGAGGGAGTTTCAGGGCTGCTGGTGGGTGCTGACTTGCGATGATTCAGAGAGATTCCCATGCAGCACGGCTTTAGAGCTGGATTACTTGATGTAGGAGAAGTGACAGCACTGCAAGGCCTTTGTTGAACAGCTCCTTTCAAATGGGCCCTGTGAGTTCCTACCTTGCTAGCTCGGTTTTGTCTGCACTTTTTATGTGACATGGATGTTTCGGGAAGATCGTTATGCTAGGGAGGAAAAGCTTGAAATCTCTTGCAAATCTGAAGCATTTTTACTCCCAATTAGGTGGGAGGAAACCACAGTTTGAGGCTGAATTGAAGTAAAATCCTTTTGAAGTGCTGCATAAATAGCATCAACCTTCAGAAGGAGGAAAGCTGACGTTTTACTGACATGCAGAAGACATGTTCGTAGCTACTGGAGAAAAGGTGGTGCCTGTTTGTTTGTTTTTAATTTCTGCTCTCATCCCTTTCTTCAGACTCCATGTTGCCATGGCCTTTAAGCTTATTTTTTTTATACGTTTAGAAGTGTTTTGACTTCTTTAATTGGACACCATGTAGCCAAATCATTCTGTGCAAGCCTTAGAAAACTTAGGAGAAATACTTGGATGGACTTTGATCTTCCGTCTACCAGTAAGTTAAAGAAGACTGCTCAAATAAGCAGAGGCACCACTAGCAATGACTATTACTACAGTAAATAATTTAAAACGCTTGTACAGCTCCATTTATTTCTCCTTTTCTAATTCCTGAAGCATAGTGTAGAGTATAGAAAAAAGTTTTTTTATATATCAGGACTGTATAATAAAGTATGGTAAAATACAGGATCTAGGAAAAAAAATGTGCATGTATGTGTGGGCAAACCTTAATTTTGCCTAAAGAATGTAACTTGCTGCTTTTTAATTTGTGGTGCGGATACAGCAAATCTGCAATTAAGCCTTCTAGCAGGTCTGTAGGATTGGTAATTGTTTTGTAATCCTTCTTTGGAACAC